AATGATTGCCTCAGTTTGAAAAATATCAGAGATCCCAACTTCAAGTGGCTTGAACAATAAGGAAATTTATTATTCTTTATTAAACAATAAGGCAATATTATAAGAAGGTAGGAGAAGAGGTGAGTCCAGAACTGGTTACTACAGAATCTCAAGAGTATCATGAAGAACTAGAGTCTTTCTGTGTGTGCCACCTGCCATCCCCAGTGAGTCGGCTTTATCCTCAGGCTAGTCCCATACACATGACATAATGCTTATTCTGGCTCCAGGAGTCATACTTGAATGAAAAGAAGAAAAGACCAGTTCTTCATAAGGGTCTGTGGTTAAGAGCAGTGAAGTCTTTTTCTGAAGCCTCCAGCAGATTTACGCTCACATTTCATTTGCCATAATTGAATAAATGGAGTGAGACCACCATGATTGGCTTAGACCATTATTTTTCATAACTTTTGATCATGACGCAAATTAGAAATATATTTTATACCATTACTATACCCATCATACATATATTTGTATATATGTATGTCTCTCTGTACAATTAAAGGTAATGCAAATGAATAGCTTCTCAAAATATGTATCCTTACCTACCTATGATTAAGTTAAATACTATTCTATTTATATTTAAATATAAGATTTTTTAGCCGTGAAGTGCCAAAATAAGGAAAGGCTTAATTTAATTTTTAGGTATAAGCCATTCATGAATTTATTTCAGTCTAGAACACGAGGGCAGTGAGCATATATAGTATACTATTGAGCCTATTTTTCTAAATTTTGATTGAGTCAAGATTGAAAATACTTATTCACACAGATAGGTCATTGTGAGTGATAAAATAATCTTGGTGATAATTGATATAGACAAGAATCGTCAGTGAGTTCTAGACTGAAGGTGACAAGTGCATGAATACCAGGAGTTGGAGATCTTGAAAACTGCCTAGCACAGAGTGTATATAAAAAGACAACTAAATGCAATGTTTGATCGTCTATTGAATTCTGGACTGGGAAACGCTATAAAGTATATTTGGGACAACTGATGAAATTTGAATGTGGGCATTGCATTTGGTAATATTATTACATCAATGATAACTTTCCTGAATTTAATTATTATACACTGGTATATAATACAATGTCCTTGGTATTTGGAAATATACACTGAAGTATTTGTTTGAACAAAGCTATAAGGAAATTCTTTTTGCTACTCTTGCAAGTTTTTTCTAAATTTGAGGTTATTGCAAAATTATAAGTTTAAAAATGACAAGAAAGATTGTTTTTTAACTGAAAAAAATGAGTATTTGGTTCTTGAGTTCGTATATACTGAATGCATAATATGTATGTCATGTTGTTTAATTCCTTTAGTATGTGATTGGATTTGGTTTGCTAGCATTTCATTGAGGATTTTTTGCACCTATATTCATAAAGAATATTGGTCTGTAGTTTTGAGTTTTTTGGTTTTTGTTGTTTTTTTTTTCCTGGTGGTATCTTTGGCTTCGATATCAGGGTAAGCTGGCCTCATAGAGTGAGTTAGGAATTATTCCCTTCTCTTTTATTTTTCTGGAAGAGTTTGAGCAGGATTAGTGTTAATGCTTCTTAAAATGTTAGGTAGAATTCATCAATGAAGCTATCTCAATCTAGACTTTTCTTCATTGGGAGATTTTCGATTACTAATTGAATCTCTTTACCTGTGTAATGTGTTCAGATTTTCTTATTTTTTTTTCTTTAGTCTGTTTTGACAATTTCTATATTTCTAAGAATTTGTCCATTTTTATTTCTCTGCAGTTTATCTAATTTAATTTATATTGAACAATAAAGCATTTTAGAATGTGTAAATATATCTTATTCTATGTGAAGTTATATTTAAACCATACAAAATTAATCCTCCATAGACCTGCCTTGCCTTCCATATCTCACCTAAAATACATTGATCTTGATAGTATTTTGAATATTCCAGTTGCTTCACATCCCTACCAATACTTGATATTCTTCATCTTTTTCATTTTAGCCATTCTGATATGGATGTTCTGAGTGTTTTTGTTTGGTTTTTAATTTTGAAGGCTTTAGACTGACATCTACAAGAATATTATTCCCAGCAATACATGTGGGTTCTGTCATTTTTATCATTTTGTGTATTTATTAAATCCTTTTTTAAATCATATGTATTTTAAAGACATAGTTGTTTTTTGGTTTTTTTGTTTGTTTGTTTGTTTGTTTGTTTTTCTATTTAAAATGCAGCTCAAGTTAAAGATTGCTGATTCAAGTCAACAGTTTCCCTCAATTTTGTCACTATTAACACTTCCCAATCTGGTAGTTGAGCTCGCTTCATTATTTTTTTTTTTATTCTTGATTCATTTTAAGGTTAACTTTTATTCAATTAAAATATTTTAATTGCTGATAATTTGAAAAATGTTATACTCAAATAACATTTTGAAAAATACAGTGAAAGTTTGGAACCAAACTTGGTTGAAACAATCAGCACTTTGCCAATAAATGATAAACTTCTCATATTTTTTTGATACTTTGCTTCATCACTCTGTAAAGTTACTCTTTAACCTCTCTCTCAGTCATTGGTCAAAATAGCCATCATGTATCAGAAAATCAAAGTGACATCAGATATCAGTGAACACAACATGTTCCTTGCCAATTTATGTATTCCTTTAAAATGATAGTCTCGATTGGCTGCATTATTTATTGCACTGTTCATTACATGTTAAGGATGATATAACATGCTCGATGTGGTCTATTCTATTTCTTTCTCGATTTTTTTTTATGCTGGTGGCAAACCACCAAATTAACTTTATGACCCACTAATTGGGAACAACCTTCAATTTGAAAACCACTGGTTTTAACCGGTCATTATCATCTGCTGGCTATGGGGCCAACTTTCCCAAAGCATATGGCCTCACAGGGTGGGGTAGGTGCATGAAACACAGTCAGGTTTCTGTTTGGAAGGAGAAAAGGGTTCAAGGCTAGAGGTAGGTTGTGCAACCAAGATTAACTGCTACTCATTATAGCTCAAGCATCTCATGTGCTTTGAAGTATATGGAGTTGTTCATCTTTATTCTAATGGCTCCCAACCATTACTTAGTTTTTCCTATTTGTGTAGAGTTCTGTCTCTTTCTTCAGATAGTTTCTCTTGTTGCTGTCATTGTCCTTGCCTCTAAATTATCATCCATCTTCTACCCTCACATTTTTTTAAAGTCTCCTTTTCATTTTGTTGCTCTTCATCTATTTAGATGAAGAAAAGACTATCCAGCCTCTTAAAAGCTGTGGCTCAACAGTGATCAAATTCTCATTGAGGTCTTAGGTTTTTCTTTATGATTTTTCAGGATTATATTTGCTTATTAGGTTTTTTTTTTTTTTAAATTACATCTGTATATTTTAGCTGTGGCCTGGATAGTCACAAACTAGTTTTTCTCTGAAATATAAAAGTACTCCTGTACCATTCAGTCTTCAGAACAAAAACGTCCACTGTTACTAAGTGGCAATAATGTAATCACAATACCTAGGGACCCTATTTACTATATTGTTTTCCTAAGAGTTTAAAGTTATCAAATCTATCCTTGTTTCCTCGGACATATGGAAAAGAGGAGATCCTGATGCACAGTGTCACATCTGGGAAAAACAACTAGAGGATCTTTAATTTTAGAGATATGTATAACATTGAGTGTATTCTGAACTAATCATTTTGGTAATCTGGCCTCAATTAGGCAACAAATATTTACTTTCAGATACTGCCTTTCATCATTTCTAAGATGCAAATTTTTCTTGCATTTTAACACCTCTGAAATCAGGATGCATCTTATAATTAATGGTGTCCTACAGTTACTATTGGCCCTATGGCAAATTATGGTGTTGTTTCTGTGTGAATTTGATTAATTCTGAAGACATGACTGAACTGCAAACCTTTCACTGTTTTTGTCGACAAATCATTAAACAATAAAATGTTTAAAGAACTATAAGGTAAGAATAAGAGTTTTATTGCTGTCCAGAATCTCTTCTGTAGATACTGTCTGTTAAGGTTAAGATAGGACTACTGTCAAAGCTTACAGAATGAGCATCTGAAGTTTAAAAGAAAATCCTGGAGACTATAGAATATTTCTCGTTTAAGAAATGCTACATTACCAAGGCTCTTGATAACATAAAAGACAATATTGCGTGGAAAAACTTGAAAGTCTATGACTCTGAGTAAAGAAGTGATTCACAAGAGTTGAATGCTGAAGAAATTTTAGGAATACTTGAACCAGTTTAGATTACTTCTATTTTCTTTTTAATCTGCATGATATATGATTTTAAAACTTTATGAGTCTAAAACAGCTCTTATGATATTTAAAAAATAAAAAATCTAATAAAAAACATTGTATCAGTGTAAATTAGCAGTGTGTTTTCTTAGTGGTACATAAATAATGGTGCTTCTTATAAGCAGTAGTATCTTCAAGTTGATGAAACCTAAGTCTGATTTACTGTCAAACTTACTGAGTATTAGTGTACTGCTTCCTATTATAATTTATGCTTTCTTCTCTTAAGAAGAACTAAGGAAATACATATGCAAGTGAAGATAACACTATAAGGCAGTGAGTGAATGATAGAGACCAGTCAGTCTCAAAGTGTGCTCCCGGAACTAGCAGCAACAGCATTACCAGGGAGATTGCTAGACTGTAAATTTTCAGGACACATCCCAGACCTGCTGAATCAAAAACTCTGGATGGGAGGCCCACCAGCCTGTGTTTTAATAAGCTCTACAGATGATTTTGATAGCAAGTTAATGTTTGAGAACCACTGCTCTAGGCAGAATTTCAGGAAAGGGAAAAATGCTGGTGTCGTTATATATGAGTAATTTAGAGAGTAAGAAAACACAGATTCTTTAAATTCAGCTTAATTGTATCTTCTAACAGTGTGTGTAAGAAAAATAAAGGAATTTACTGTGCTGTATCTCAGCCAGCTACCAAGTAATACAGGCGAAGTAGTGGAATAGTCCTTCACTTTTGATTGATATTTGATCTTTCCCTTTTCAGCACGATGTATCACAGACTTTACTCAAAGCAACACTGGACAGTGTTGTAGAAGAATGTGTCAGCTTTGTGGGAGTGGATATTAACATCTGTTCAGAAGTTTTGTTAAGGTGAGACAAGAAGTCTATGTTTGAAGATCACAGAATCTTGAGTTTAACTGTCTATGCAGTTCAAACTCAGAACAAGGGGACATGTGTATAAAGTTGTCCAGTATAGAAAATCTATGAGTTCATTCATTGCTTTAGGTAATCAGTCATAAGAGAAGACAGCATTTAAAAAATGGATTGTAACAATTGACATTATCATGTTTAATACTGGGAATCTAAAGTGAAGAGCATGTGGTTGCCATTGAGTGCGTTAGTGTCATTACTAGAATTAAGCAAGGTTAACATGGAAAAGAGCTGTTTCCTACCACATGCGGGTCGATATTTTTCACCAGCTTAGTCTCTTGCATACATCTGTCAAAGTTGGTAATAACCAAAAGATAAAGTCTGCGGGTTAAAGGTATAGTTACCATATTTTTACCTTGATTCTGCAGGTCACAGATCAAAATGATAGTGATACTATAATCACACCTTATATACTCTTTTTTTTCTGGGGTTATGGAAGAGCTGCTATTTTGTTCATAGTCTTGCATTTATTACATTTCATGCTGATGACGCATGAAATTCTGGACCCCTGGAAAAGATCTGGACGTTTTTCCTTTGAAACTGGTAGCAGAAAATTTCTCTTACATTTTAAGGTGTTTCTTTTCTACAATAGCTACTAACATTCCATAATTCCATATAAGGAATTCTATAATAGAATTAAGATTCTCTTAAATAGTAGTCTTTTAATTAACACCAACATACTACCTAGCGATATAATTCTCCTATTTTTATACTAACCTTGACATTCATGTATAAGTACCTTTCTATAGTTCAAGTCTTTTAAATTAATGAGAACGGGACAATAAAAAAACAATAGAGAAGTACAGTGCAAGTGTAGCTATTGTGACTTCTGCTGCTAACTCACCTTGTAAGCTAAACAGAACTAGGCTGAAATGTAAGGAATGTGAATAGTGTAGAAATATTGTGGAGAACAGTTCTTTTTCTTGCACCAGTGTTGACCAATTTAGCAGCATTTTTATGGTTTTACTAGTTTTGTCATTGTTTTACATTCCGTTGTCCTTCTCTCCTCTTGGACAACTCTCTTCCTTCTCTTTTAATTTAACTCTTTTTATTTTATTAACTTATAGGCACAACAATATGTGATTGCAATTTTTTATAATGCAAATGTTTTATATCATTGTCTTTTCAGATGCGATCTTTCAGTACTCTTAGAACTATTATATCTGTCACATGTTTCATTTTGTTTATTTTTTTAGGCACATTGCTGGACTCAATGCCAACCGAGCCAAAAATGTTATTGAATGGCGAGAGAAAAATGGGCCCTTCGTCAACCGAGAACAGCTGAAAAAAGTGAAAGGACTGGGTCCAAAATCTTTCCAGCAGTGTGCTGGCTTCATCAGAATCAACCAGGATTATATTCGAACATTTTGCAGGTGATTATTAAAGTGTACACTTTCAGTTCTATTATCAACCTCCTCTCTTATTGTTACCTATCCTACTCTCTGGCATAAATCCTAGGTGTGTCTTGTTCATTTCTTTATTCAGTATGTGATGACTGTCTAATCTTTGCTATACAGCAGTGAATAAATCAACACATTTTCTCTTCTCATGGAGTTAAAATTTTAATGTGTGAGACAGACAATAAATTAGTAAAATAAATAGTTTCGGATTTAATAAGTATTATAAAAATTAAAACAGAGATGTGACACTGTCTTGGGGAGCAGTATAACTGCTTTTTATGAGTTATTCATTGAAAAGTTATTTGAGCCAAATCTTGAATGAGATTAAGGAGCTGGCCACATGAGGATTGAAAGGAAAGCATTTCAGGCAGAGCAGACAGTACGGGCACAAGATCCTAAGGCAGGACCTATATGCTATATTTAAGAAATGAAACTAAGGCCAGTGTGACTGGAGCATCACAAGTGGAAAGGATTGGTGCAAGGTGAGGTGACAAAAAGGACTTCACAATGACCATTTCGTATTGACAGCCATTTCCCTGAGTGTAGCTGGACTTCCCTCCTCACTGAAAACTGACCAAAGCATCATCACTTGTGCAGATTAAGAGTTAAATTTTTGCTTTCTAACCCTGGTAGCACAAAAGCAAAGAAATTAGGTAAACTTCTTAGCATTTGGTAATCACGAAAGAATAGCTTTTATATATTTACTACTTTGGGCCTACCTGGTTCATTCATATATATATTTTTTCTTTTGACAAAATTATAATAAAGGTAACATGGACAAATAATCTTTATTCTGGAAAAGACTAAGTAAGGGAAAACCACCCCACTAGATGGTGGAATACATTATCAAGCAATAGTATTTAAACAGTTTGCTTTCGATGTAGAAATAAAACGGAATAGAGTCTGAAATCTTCCAACACATCGACAGAATTTAGTTTATCATAAAGATGATATTTTAGATAGTGGAGGAAATTGATTAATTATCCAACAAGTGATATTAAAACAACTGGTAGGAATTTGGTATGTGTGGGGGAAGCTATAGTTCTATCTCATACTTGATACCCAAATAAATCCCAGGTGGGTCATAGACTTAAATGGAAAAAGTGAAACTGTAAAAGTATCCGAAGAAAACATGAGTTAAGTTTGCAGAAAGTTGGAGTGGTAGAAGTTCTAGGTAGACCACAAAATCCAGAAGCCAGAAATGAAAAAAAATTGGACATAAAATAATCCTGTGTTTTTTAGTATGTATGCTTTTCAGTGTGTATGTTTTTCTAACTTGGTTAGAAAATTCAAACAATATAAAAAAGAATAAAATGAAAAGTAAAGGACACCTCAACTCACTTCAAAATAGTTCCTTATATATTGCTCCCTAAAAATAAATGTATACTCGTATCGGCTTGTATGTATGTATATTATTTTTAAGTGCATACCGAAGGGATCATGCTCTACAACTATTTGAAACTTGTTTTTGTTTTAGTAGTATATCTTGGATCTCTTTCCAAATATTACGTATAGATTTATATCATTATGTCCGCATAGTATTTAATTTATGGATGGACCGTAATTTAATCTAATTAGTGCCTACTGATAAACATCAGGGTTGTTTTAAAGCCTTGTATTTTTTCAACTGATAATGAAGCACTTGAAGATTCAAGACCATTGTATCTTTTCAATAGATCATACCTATATTCAGGATGGACTGCTGCTATCTCATTGAGTGTTTTTTGCTTTGAAATCTATTTTGTTTGCTAGCAATGTTGTTATGTATGACTTTTCAGAATATGGTTGGTAATTCTTTATTTTCAAACTTTCTATGGCATTTAATTTTTGATACGACTTGTAAACAAATAGATTTCATGATTTTGCTCAATCTTAATACATTCACATCTGTTGTATTTACTGATATGTTTAGAATTAATCTTCCATCTTATATATTTTCTCTACATTATGCTTTCTGATTCTTTTCCTTTCATGCTGTTGGATTTATCAGTTAACAAGTTTTCTCTTTGTCCTTGTTTTCCCACTTCATCTTTATCTCCCCTTAGTGATTTCTTGTTGTATATCTTACTTTTATTCTTCTGGCAATTACCTTTAATTTGATTTGGACTGACCTCTGGTGTCTCTGTCCTCTTGGAGAAGACTAGAACCTTAGGTGTCTTCCCAACCTTTTTCCTTCAGCTCTACATTCCATGATGAGAGGACCTGGGATTTTAGTTTCAGACTGTTCTTTTTATATATATTTTTTACATTATTCATGAGGAATTATTTAACTTCAGTTTATATAGTTTCTGTACTTATCACTGTTTCTTGTAGCCCACATTATCATTTTTTAAAATTCATTGTTTTTGCTCTAGTATAACCTTAAATTCTTTTCAGAGAGGGTATGCTATGTGGATTGTACTTTGCCTTACATGTCTGGAAATGATTTTAATTCGTCCTCCTATTTGAATGCTAGTTTGTCTAGATATATAATTCTAGATCCAAAATCATTTTCTCTCAGAACTTTTTAAGATATTGTTCCACTGTTTTGGCATCTGATGTTTGTCAATGAAAAATGATACCAGTCTGATTCTAGTTTCTTTCAAAGAAATGTTTTATTTTTCTCTCATGATTTATAAAATTATATTCTAAAGTTTCCCCATAGTATGTCAAATATGAGTCTTTTTCTATTCATCCTATTTTGTACTCAAAATAGGTTCTTTTGAGAACTTTTATTTTTCTTCAGCTCTGGGAAATCATCTTGCCCTTCTCCTTTTCTTTCTTCTTGTTTTTTTCCCTTCTGTTTTTCTCTTTTCTCTTCTAGAATGCCAGTTATACAGGCTGAATCAGTTAAGAACGTTTTTGGCTTTCAGTAACAGAAAACTCTGTTAACGGTTTTAAACAAATAAGTGATAATTTCTATGAAGCGAATGGCCAGAATCGGGTTGCTCTTTGTGTATGGCTGAGAAGTAAGCACATTTTTAACTAAAGATTGTTTTCTTTTTTACCTGACCTCACCACCCCACCCCATTTCCCTGCCCCTTGTTTTAAATGGTTACAGTAGTCAGCACACTGAATCTCCGGGCCCAATTCAGGGAGTTGCCGTGACATCGCCAGCAGGTGTTGAGGTCACAAATGAGAAGCAGGGCAAAAAGAAGAGCAAAATCGCAGTGAATTTTGTGCTGCAGCCAAATCCTTTAGACCAAACTTGCATTCACCCGGAATCATATGACATAGCGATGAGGTAAGTCTGAGGCCCTTGTGAGAATTCTCCATGTCAGAGTGAGTTTTCTACAGAAATGGCCTTTGTTTTGGCATAATGGAGACTTTAAAAATATGACCATGTTTAACATGACAACATTTTTCAGAAGTTCCGCATTGCCGAGTTATGTGGCACATTATTTGATTTCAATGAGGAATGAAACCATTATTCCTGGAGCTGTGTCAAGCCAATAAACCCTGATACTAACAGTGAAGTGTGTGTAATGGAAATTGCATGGCACTCTCCTCTGTTTGTTTTGGAAATTAACAAGACACAAATGACTAGCACCTGGCTTAAAGCTTGTGCTTTTATCTAAAGATAAAGTCCTTTTGAAAGTAAACTGCCAACTCAAGATTTCTTAAGAAATACTTCCCTGCTTGTTTATTACAAAGTCTAAGAAATGATGTACTTTTATTGAACATACATTAACACACAATGATATGGGGGAGGTTTTTGAGTACAAGGAAATGTTTAAGGCATTAAAAGGAAAAACTTTTTAATACCACATTTGATTAGTTCAAAAAATTTTAATTAGTTCGAAAACAGTGATTGGCTATATAACTAAACAGTTTAAGGTTTTTAGTGAGTTAAATGATAATGGGCTTAAAAATAGTGAATGTTTATTGCTTTTAGTTTTATATCCCACATATGAATGAAATCTCATGGTTCTCAACCCTTTCTGTGTGACTTATTTGACTTAGCATGATTATCTCAAGATCCATCCATATTGTTGCAAATGGTAATATTTCAGCTCTTCTTATGGCTGAGTAATATTCCATACAATGTAATATACAGATGATGTATTATTGAATTGTACACTTGAAACCTATATGATTTTATTAACCAATGTCACCCCAATAAATTTAATTTAAAAAAAAATAAAAATAGTGACTATTTTAACTTTCATTGACTCTATAGTGAAATTTTTAACTTGTTTAGAAATAACTGACATTTCATTATTTTGATAAATGTAACTGGTTTCCGTTCTTTTAAAAATGTTTAAAATTTTAGACTATATCCCACATTATAGAGAACTTAGAAAAGAAAAAGAAAAAGTAAAAACTAGTGGTACCTTTCCTCCAAAATTTTATTATGAATTTTAAACACACAGAAAAGTTAAAGTTTTTACAGTCAGCTCCTTATCATTAATATTATACTGTGTTTTTCCACTTATCTATTTATCTTTTTGTCTGTCAGTCAAGTCCTTGTTTGTTTTTATGTATTTTAAAGAAAATTGCAGACATCAATACACTTTCAAGTAGTACTTCAACATGCATATTAATTTAACTAGAATTCTATAATTCTTAGCAATTCGTTTTTCTTTTGAGGTAAAATTCACGTACAGTTAAATTGTAAGTATACATTAATTGAGTTTTGGCAAATAAATACCTATATCTGTGAAACCCAAATTGCTACCGAGACAAAAAACATTGCCATCATCCTAAAACATTCCCTTAACGCTTCCCAGACAATCTCTGCCCCAGCCTCCTAGAGTTAACTGCATGTTCTGATTTTTCTCTTCCAATGACAAATAAGTTTGCCTCATCTAGAACTTCACGTAAATGATACTATATAGTTGTACTCGTGTGTAAGGCTTCTTTCAGTGTGATGTTTAGAGATTTTTATTCCTGTCGTAACAAAAATAAGTAGCTTGTTCCTTTTTTGTTGCTGAGAATTATTCCATTGTATACATATGCCACAGTTTATTCTCCTTATTGAAGGAAACTTGCCTGTTTCCACTTTTGGACTATTATGAGTAAAGCTACTGTGACCATTCTTGTACAGTTTTTTTGTTCTTATTGACACTTGTTTCCATTTATCTTGGGAAAATACTTAAGAGTGGATTTGCTGGGTCATAAGGTAGGTGAATGTTTACTTTCTTAGAAACTTATAGACTTTATTCTAAAGTAGTTGTACCATTTACACTTCCACCAGTAATGCATAAGAGTTCTGGTTAATTCATATCTTTGCCATCATATGTTGATAGTCTTTCTAATTTTAGCCATTCTGCTGTGTGTGTAGTAGTATTTCTTTGTGGTTTTAATTTGCATTTTTTCTTGATGACATTGAGCACTTTCTCGTGTGCTTATTAGCCATTTGTGTATCTTCTTTTGTGAACTCTCGATTCATATTATTTAGCCATTGTCTTTTTTTTCTTTTTAAATTATAGTAGTTTTATATATACAGTACAATGGCTAGACGTGTATGTAATTTACGAAGTGATCCCTCAGTTACTCTAGCAGCCATCTGGCACTACACACAGCCATTACAATAATATTAACTATATTTTCTAAGTTGTACTCTACATCTCTATGACTGTTTTGTAACTCCTGATTTGTACTTCTTCATTCCTTCACCTTTTTCCACCCCTCTCCTCTGGCAGTTACCTGTTCTGTGTACCTTTTCTGTTTTCAGTTAGTTCGTTCATTTCTTTTGTTCCTTAGATTCCACATATAAGTGAAATCATATGGTATTTACCTTTCTCTGACTTATTTCACTCAGCATAATACCCTCTAGGTCCATGTATGTCATTGCAAATGGTAAGATTTCATGTTTTTTCATGGCTGAATAATATTCCATTGTATATATGTACCATAACTTTTTTAACTAATCGTCTGTTGATGGGCACTTAGGTTGCTCTCCAATATCTTGGCTATTGTGAATAGCACTGCTATGAACATAAGGCTGCATAGATCTTTACTAACTAGTGTTTTGGTTTTCTTTGGATAAATACCCAGAAGTGCAATTGCTGAGTCAAAAGGTAGTTCTATTTTTAATTTTTTGAGGAAACTCCAAACTTCCATAGTAGCTGTACCAATTTGCAACCCTACCAACTGTATATGAGGGTTCCCTTTTCTCCGCATCCTTGCCAACACTTGTTTTTTGATTTATTGATGATAGCCAGCCTGACAGGTGTGAGGTGATATCTCATTGTGGTTTTCATTTGCATTGCTCTGATGATTGGTGACCTTGAGCATCTTTTCATGTCTGTTCATTTAGCCATCTTCTAATTGAGTTGTTTTCTTTCTATTCTTGAGTTGTGGGAATTTTTAAAAATATACTCTGAATACTAGTCCTTTGTCGAAATGTTTCACGAATATTTTGTCCTAATTTGTGACTTACCTCTTTATTTCTTTATTGATGTCTTTTGACGAACAGAAGTCTTTAATTTTAATGTCTGATTTATCCATTTTTTTCTTTCATAGTTTTTGCTCTCCAAGTCCTGTGTAGGAAACCTTTGCCTACTTCAAGTCATGAATGTATTTGGTATTTTCTTCTAAAAGCTTGATGGTATCAGCTTTTACGTTTAGGTCTGTGATACATCAGAAATTACATTTCATGTATGATTTGAAGCAGGAGTCAAGGTTCATTTTCTTTCTCCATATGAACATTTAAACAACATTACAACTTGCCTTTACCCACTACTTTGGTGCCTTTGTTGAAACTCAAATGATTGAATTAGTGTGGATCTATTTCTGGCTCTCTATTCTGTTTCATTGATCTGTTTGTCAATACCACACTATCTTGATTATTGTAGCTTTATGATAAGTTTTTAAGTCAGGTAGTGTTAAGTCCTCTAACTTTGTTCTTTTTAAATATTGCTCTGAATATTGTAGATGTTTTGCATTCTATAAATTTTAGAATGAGCTTGTCAATTTCCATTAAAAACAGAAAACAAAACAAAACAAACTGGTAGGATTATGTTGGGATTACAGTGAGTCTGTCAGTGAATTTAGAGACAGTTGATGTCCTAATATTTATTGAGCCTTTGATCATGAGCTTATTATTTCTTTCCATTTAGTTAGGTCTTCCTTTATTTCTGTCTACAATATTTTTTAGTTTCCAGTGTGCACATCTCACATATATTTTATTGAATGTATTTTGTTTTTCAATACTGTTGTAAATGGAATTTTTTAAATTTGTTGCTAACATGTAAAAATACAGTTGATCTTTATAGTAACTTCGTATCCTGCAGCGTTGCTAATTCCACTTACTAGTTCTAGTAGGTGTTTGTAGATTATTTAGATTTTCCTATATAAATAATTATGTTATCGGCAAGTAGATAAAAGTTTTACTTCTTTTTTTTTTAATCTAAATGCTTTTTATTTCTTTTTCGTGCCTAGTGCAGCGGCTAGGCCCTTCAGGACTGTGTCGAATAGGAGTGGTGAAAGTGGGCATCCTTGTTGTATTTGTATTCTCAGTCTTTTAGCACATGGTTCTCATTTTTTTAATATAAAAAAAAAATTTGTGATCTCATTATAGTAATTGTATTTTTAGTGTTTATTATTTGAGAAGATGCATATGTGCACATGGGTTTATAGACTTCTTGCAACAACTGATGTTTCCATTGGTACTAAATTAGCATTTTGTTAATGCAAACCAGTGTCTTTTTTAGTGCGCATTTTTATTTGTTTCCATAATGTAATTTTAATGTGGTTTATGAGTTTTTCAATTTGCTTTTAATATAAGCACATTTTTTTGTTTCTGCATATCCTTCTTTTTAAAAGGCTAAACAATATTCCATCACATGATTGAACTGTAATTTAGTAATAACAGTACTAGTAGTAATCCTTATGATGAATTCCTAGAAGTGAAATTACTCTTGCCAAAGGATTTAAAAGTTTATGTGACTCTTGATATACATTGCCAAGTAACATACTGATTTATAATGCCACCAGCAATGTTCAAGCCTGAGAAATCTTGAATTTCTCCTGTCGGACGGACTTTTCTGCCAATTTTTAAATGAGCCAGTTTCTGCATGTGGAGCATAAAAGCCCCACCAGTGACTTCACCCTTCTCTATACTTCCTTTGGGAGTAGCCTTGTCTCTCAGAAGCAGGGTACTTACGGACTATTTCATGAAAAATTTCTTGTACATGAAGCTCAACTCCTGACCTTTAAAATGTGGAGACAAAACTGGTAATTTATCTAATTAAACTTACTATCCCCATTATCCACTTTGGAACTATGATAGTCATTTCT